AAACATAGGGTTCATAGGTTCAACGTCACGAGCATGAGGTCGAAGGTACTACCCATAAGATATTGGTCTAAAAGTTATCACTTGCCAAACAAGGTTCTAGAGGTTCCCAGAGTTTACATCCTTCCTTTGGATATTACCAACTTCCCGATTAACTCAGTAATTAGTAATATTCTCAAGAAAAACGTGTCCGAGCGTAGTATGCGTGACAACTATTTTCGAATTACTCTGTCATAGCTTTCGCACTACACCTAAAAGGCCAAGATGGGTTAGGTATTCTACGGTCCTCGATTTCAGCAGGCTCCCAGGTCAAAAGCAGTACATCTTCCCGATTACTCGACAAAAGACACTATAGTCAAATGGGCCTCTACTGTGTGGGGGATCTCATGCCTCTTTTTTTGGGATTACTCCCTCAAAGTTAACATGACTATACCACCTGTCCTATCTTAAGTTTGCCCAAGTCCGGGTATAGGACTCATGAGTAATCACCAAGCATCCTGAAAACCATAAAAATCTTGACAAATATATATACAACATATAATATATAACACATAATAGCACATATACAGATATAAACAAAGATAGGCTCAACCCACAGAGGGATGGACCAGCAAGAGGTCAATCTTTTCCCAGTGAAGTCGCCATTTTTTCAGTGGCGGTAGAAATATTGAGACTAAGCCATTAGATTGACTTAACTCGCACAGATCAAAATAAAAATTGCCACCGCGCTTTATTGTTTCCAAAGGAATGGGAAAAGAGCGAATAACCCAAAAAGAGGGGGAAAGATTCAAGATAAGGGGGTTGGTTATGAAAAGGGATGGTATTAGCACCCTAAACATCTACGGTACTCCGTAGGAACCTCTTTGTAAAATCTGTATATTTTGACTATAAAATATTGTATAAAAATAGATGATGGAGGTGAGAAAAGAAATATAATTTTTATGGTTTTTGCACCCGCCGAGGTTGTGAATCTTTAGTGCCTACGTACCACCTTTCGTGCAATAGGGGATCAGGGTACACCTAGTTTATCTTTAAAATTTTAAAACTAGTGTGTTGGTTAACTTTATGAGATAAGACATCATCGTCATTGTCCGTGTGGAAAACATACTTACTACCCACAATCATGAGAAAGGAGAACTTGCATCATCTCAAAGTGGAGGATATGGCTTGGATTATAAAATCAACAATGCCTCACTCAACACCCAAGTGAAAAATACCTCACTTCACTACATATTGTAGAAGTATAGTTGTTTGCATCACTACAAGGATTGACAAGAGTCTAATATTTTTGAGAATTTTTTTTAAGATAAGAGCCAAAATGGCAAAATATTTTGAATGAGATTGATTGGCTTTTAGTCTTCTCACAAAAATGTTAAGGTATTATTAAGTTGATTAAATTTTGTTTATGAAAATATTTTGAAAATGCATGGAGCTAAGTCCAAGTTTATTATGAAAGTGGTTCAAGTTTAGAAACAAGAATAGTTTTCAAAAGGAGAGAGAAGATTTTTTAAATTAAAGAATATGGGAGGAGATGAAGCGACTATCCTGAAGCATAAGATAAAAGCTAGGGAGAAGAACCATCTAACCAACAAGAAACCAGCACTTAACATTATGAGTCAAGATAGAATTCACATTCTTTGGATTTAAACCAAGCAAGGATACTAAACCTCTTGAGAAGACCAAACTTAAAATGTATTAAGTCTTCACAAAAATTGGGCAGAGTAAAGACAAAGTAGGTAATCACAACAACCTACACACAAAACAAACAAGCAACCTAATGTCTTGAGGTAAACCCCAAGAACTCCAGGCAAAATATTAATTAAGGTCACAAGGTCTCCAACATAGGCCAAGGTCTCTAATCTTAAGTCCGAGAAGTCAAATACTCCATAATGCCAAGGATAGTAACCAAATAGTCCAAGTATCATTAATGTTTTTTATGGTTCATGTTGATTATTAAGTATCTTCAAAAGGAAAAGAAAAAGCTCAAGTGAGCAAAATAAAAATGGCATAAAAGTAAATGCTCAAGTGAGCAAAGATGAAAAATAGCATGAAATGTAAATGCTAAAATAAATGGTACATAAAGTAAAGAGCATAAAATAAAAGCATAAAATAAAGTCAATTATTAGAAGTTAATGGTTAGTTGGATGACCATCTTGAAACTTGCATTTGGAACTCATTAGAGGATTGGTAGAACCAAAGCCTCTCAAAATTAAGTTGTATTTTATTTTTGTCAAGTATATCATCCATTTAAGAATCCTCAATGTAATATTTAATGATCATTGATGTTTAAGTGATCGGTGTTGACCAAAATTGATGAAGATCCATTGGAGGATTGGTAGAACCAAAGACTCCTAACAATAAATCTCAAGGTTATTGGATCAAAGGGTTCAGATTAACATACTTGGGCTTGCAAATATAGGTTTGAGCCACAAATGATTATTTTCTCGAATCGGGATAAAATTTAGCGCTATGTTAAGCAATTGTATGTGGACTTATGTTGAAGTCGCACCTATTTTGAAGTCGATCAATAACAATCTATGTACTTCATGTTTGGATAAATGATATAGAGATCATCATCCCATAACATGTAGTACAAATAAAAAAGAAAGGAATGAAGAGGGAGGGGAATGATAAGCTAATTTGGATTACTACCTCAATTTTTTTTCATCTTTAAATTCAATCACTCATCTCAATGGATTAAAGTACTAAACATATAATTGATTCAAAGCACCAAAAATGAATTAAATAATTCACTCTTGTAGATTTGAATTAATGAGCATTTATCAAACTTCATCTACACCCAAAGTCCATTGAATTTAAATAGAAATTGAACATTTAAAATTGCAATCCAAATCAACAATCAAAAAGAGTGAGTAGAAAAAGATAGATGGATCAAAACAGCCCCAAAACAAGGCAGAAAAAGCATTATGTTACTGTTACAATCGATTGCACTATGAGAGCAATCAACTGCATCAGTGCTTTTTTTCGAAAAAACGTAAAAAATTTATGTGACAATCGATTGCGTTGTGAGTGCAATCGATTGCACCCTGTGAAAAACAGAAAATTAGCATTTTAAAAGGCCAGATTCTTGTTCAAACTTTCTATCAAACACCTTATGATCATGAATTTAATTGAGCACGAAAATTTCATCAAATTATGAGAAAATAACACAAATAGAATCACAAAACAATTCTCAATGAATCAAACACAAAGATCAACATGAGATCACATTGTGAAAGATGAAAAATCCAACTTACCAAAGGTAGATCTAGAGAATTATCAAAATAACTTCAAGAATTTGCTTCAATTCAACCCCAAGAATCAATTTCCCAAAATTGGATGTAGAGAATTGATGAAGAAAAAGTGTTTGGATGAAGGTTTATCTCAAAGATTAGTAAGCTTCAATGCAAAGCTTACTAATTTTTTTTTGAAAATGGAGCTTTGAGTGAATTTGGTAGATGGAGGAAATTGAGATATTTTTTAGCAAAGTGGATTTGGCTATCAAAAACTTGAGATTTGAATGAAATGAGAGATCTATTTATAGAGTTTAGGCTTGAGATTAGTGGTGGTTTGGAGTTTGGTTTGGGAAATGAAATTAGACTTGGTAATTGACTTTTCGAGCCAAAATTTGAATTAATGATATATCTTTCAAAAAATGAAGAAATATTGGAGCAAAAAAAATGACAAACTTGAAATTGATGATTTTTTTTCAAAATTTCACTATGTGCAATCGATTGCACTCTAAGAGCAATCGATTGCATCAGTGTTTTTTTTCCAAAAATTACGCAAAATACACTCTGCAATTGATTGCACTCTAAGAGCAATCGATTTTACAGTGAAAAAAATGAAAATTTTTAATTGTTTTTCTATGCAAATAGAGATTTTAAGAGAATAATACCGGAAAACCTTATTTGTCAGATGCTTTGACTCAGTACCTATAAAACACAAATATACAAAGACAAAGACAAATATATTTTTTTGTATTTGATTAGAAGTTAGTCAACAACACATATACAAAATACATAACTAAGGTGCTTGGAGATCCCTCAAGAGCAAACTTAAAGATATGAGATTGAAAAAGAGAAAGATCCAACCCTAATATGATCTTGTTATGATCGAATTAATATGATATGATAGAGAAATCTTAGTGGCAAAAATTAGGGTACGACAATTTTCAAGAAAAAATTTACGTCCAGAAAAAAATAATCAAACCATTTAAACTTTTATTTTATATTTAACTTTGAATGTACCCCAACTTTAAACTTTTATTAAACTTTTTTAATCATTTTTATAAAGTCTTTAATTTTTATTTTAATAGCTTTTACTTTAATATCTTAAAAAAATCATTTCTATAACTCATAATACTTTATAATAATTTAATTCTATAACTTTTCATTTCTATAACTTTCATAATTTTATAATTTTAATATTTCGGTTTTATGAAGTCTTTAATTCTTCTTTTAGTATCTTTTACTTTAATATTTCATAAAAAAATTCATTTCTATTCATTAACTTAGGAAATATAAATATGAGGATTTTGTTGAAATATCCTTCCTCATCTAAAATGGTAGACACAATAATATTTTAATTTAAACTCTTAAATTTTTCTTTAATTTGTATCACTGAACGTATATTATCCTTTTTTTGGTTTTGTTTATTATTTTTTGTAAGTGAAATACTACTATGTTACTTCTGTTATTTGGGTTGTATGATCAAAATTTTATTATAAATTTTTTTATCTCTGTTATATTTTCTATCATCTTTTAAAATGGATTGAATTTTAGAAACTAATATGAAGATTCTATCACCCTTTCAACTATTTTGTGTATTTTATATTAAACATACCATTTACATGTCTCTTTTGTACTATCTTAAAAATTTCTATTTTTTCTAATCTTTTTAATTTTCAAATATTTACTATTTCATTTTTTAAAATATGTGTCCTTTTTTTAAAAATTTCATATGCATGTTTTAAAGATATATATGAAAATTTTGTTGAGAGTTCAATTCTCATACATATTAAATTGTCCACTACCATCTTGCGCCACAACAACATCTGACTTAACACTTGGATCAGCGAGAAGACGTCTCTGTCCTTCCCTAACCCATGTTGGAAAACTATCAACACGCGTTGTGGATTCATCGGATAAAATCCTTCTATTAAAACCACTCGGTGTTGGGCCAAAATTCTTATGCAATCCAGAAAGTGAATTAAGCATGTCAATAGCATCATTGCTTAATTTCATAGAAGTGCTCATAACCTGAGCCATTCTCTGACTAGCTTTTGTGTCTGCTTTCTCTAAACTATCCAAACAAGTTTGTTGATCTGTAAGTGTAGCAGTCATCCAAACTTGAAGATCGAAAATAAAGTCATTCAACCTATTGAAATCAAATCTGTCTAATTCCCCAACAGATTTATTAACTCCATCAACAGCATTATCCATTACTTCGTGGCAAATTCGCATCGCTTGTCTCGTCATGTTGTCTTTTACCAATTCATTATAAAGAGCTGGATTGTTCATGTTTTTCATTAACTCCCCGGCTTCTTCAATGAATGTGTTTTTCAGACGTTCTTTTATGTTTCTTGCTCCGCTAACCAACTTTCCTACTTTCGTATGACATTCCGGGTTTTTTAGACAACTCATTTCAAAATCCCTTTGTGTTGTAAATATTTTTCCATTTTGTTCCCCTGGTTCTCTTAAGCCGCTGTGCGTTAAACCGACCGCGACAAATCCGATCACGGCGATAAGGAGAATGGAAGAGAAACCAACAACTGCAAACCTTTTCTTTTGGTTACGAACACGGTTTATATTATCACGCGCTCCTTCCATGTTTTTATGAAAATACTAATAATTTTTCTATGAAACTATATTTAGTATATACACTTTTTTTTTTCTTTTTTCTTTTCTGTACAGTGTTTTTCAAATTCCCTATAGGGATAGCTCTATCTTCTTCATCTCTGATTTTGATTCTATATATACACATGCATGGAAAAATCAGTAAAAAAAGTTGGGAATTGTTTACTATGAAAATAGTGGTATTGTACAAAACTCCTAAACATGGTTAATAACATTAGCTGAAATTTAACTATTGACCAAATTTTGGCATTTATTTAGAGTGGTGATTATAACAGGCATAGATTTGAGGATGTCATTGAAGTGTTAACTTTAGTACACTTTATAAATTAGATATGAGGATGTCATTGAAGTGTTAAGTTTAGTACACTTTAACTTTATGAAGGTTGTGTAACGGTTTTAAATTGTATTTGTATTTCGCAAGTGTAATTGCATTTGTAATATTGCAGATACAATTGTCTGCATTTGTAATATTGCAGATACAATTGTCTCTACAACCGCATCAGACTCTAATTGCAGTGTGATTTTAGAATCACATCTCCGATTATATTAAAACCACATTATATAATTTTAATCATGTTTCTTTAAGTATTTTCATCAAAAATCAAAATATTAAAATCCTAAAACAATTTACTTGTTATGTACCGAAACAAAAAAATTTAACAATAAATATTTTTTAACATTATATTTCAAACATCTCCTTATAAAAATTCTCACCGCAATGGCCACAAAAACTGCAATTGCAGTACTCACAACCGCATCTATAACTGCAATAGCAATATCCACAATCCCAACTGCATCCACAACCGCAATTGCAATTTAAATCCATGGTTATCTTTGATTCATCTTAAGAGATTCATAAAAACATGGTTGTATCCTCAAATACCTTATTATTTTCTAATCTTTAAAAAAATTAATTTCTTTAACTTTTACACTTCTATAACTCATAATATTTTAAGACTGTATAAAATATAAACGTTACATATGAAATAGATAAAATAAGTTTAAAAGATAACTATTGACTATATCTGATCAGAAGGGATTGTCAAAGTCCACGAGTTTTAAGTCGAGTAGTGGTTGAATGTGAAGTGGAGGTATCTGCAAAACACCCTGATACTAAAGTAAGATTCAGAGTAAGTGCAAGTAAAGCGTTAGAGTATGGGTGAATAAATGAATACCTGATCCTCTCAATTGAAAGGGTATTTATAGCCCTCAGCGTTGGACCAAGGTCTTTAGTGATGAGGTCCATTAACAAAGACTGACAAGATTTACGGGTGTGTGGAGTCCACCACGTGACTTCCTCCCTGGTCAACTGCCCCGAGAAAGTAGAGAAGTTGGACCCGTTATTCTCGTAGGACAAGATGATAACGCTATGGACACATGAGTTATGTTTCCTAATGAACACGTGGGAAAATGCCCAACATTCCTTAGTTTGGACTGCATGTTTTTGGACCTTTATAAAGGTGCTGGATTGGACCTCTCCAACGGTGGGGCAAGTGTCGGCCCAATCCAGAACAACTATCTTTTAATTTAAATCTCAAATATATATGTTTTAATTTTATATTTAACTAAATTATATTTTTGAATGTACCCAAATTTTAAAATTTTTTATTTTTTATTTATTTATTATGAAGTATTTAATGTTCATTTTAATAAAATGTTTAAAAAAATTACTTTTACAATTCTATAACTCATAATACTTTATAATACTTTAATTCTATAACTTTCATTTTTATAACTTTCATAACTCTACAAAATTTTGAAAATTCTTTTAAAATCTAAAAATTTAATTTTATACTTATTTACTATAAAAATTAAATAATTTTTTATATATGGCCGTTCAGGCTATTTTTATTAATAATATTGAGAAAAAATAAAATTTATACATAAAATCTCCATGGTAATAACTGACCAATTTCTCATAATTCTATAATTAATATACTGAATATATTTATTATTCAGTTGAATTTTTTCTTAAATTTAAATACTAACTTCTTATTACAATTATGTCAAAAATTCTTTAAACTACTGTATTCTTTTACAATTAAACTTTTAACAAATCAAATTTTAATTAATATTTTATAGACCTTATTTATGGACCTATAGTATTTTTGGACTTATGATATTTATGGTCACATAAATTTATGGATCTATCATATTTTTGTTTATAGAAACTGTTTTGGAATGGCTCGACAGTTAGAATGGATTCAGTCTAAGATATTTTTTTGGTATGGTCCGCACGACTATGATCTGAATTGTCCGCTACCTATCGGACAATGTTAACTGTTTGCTCTCCCGAACCAGCACTGACTCAGGGTGATCGACGAGCATCCTCTCAGCCTACCTGACATCAACGTCGTGCAAGCCACCAGGAACCGACCAGAGAGATGCCTGTAACTAACCCCCCCCCCCCCCCCCCTCGGGACCAACGGCTAGTTACGAGTACATCTTTCCGGTTTGACAAAGCTCTTGCGGTTACCTAATTTAACGGTCCCGCATATCTAGGCGTGAAATCAGGAATCAATAGCTACGCGCCAGGGGAATTATATATACCCTCACACCTGTGAGGACTAGGTATCAAGCATTCACTATTCACCACCTAATACTTTGCTTGTACCTCCTTGTTCCCACTCTTATTTGATTGTCGGAGTGCTTGCAGGTACAACCCCATTTTCTCCTCGACTTCACAGCCCGACTACAAATCATATTTCTGCCACTTCTCAGGTTCTGATCAACCGGTAAGATTAGTGGCTCTGTCTGTGGGAAACTGCTATCTCCATCTTTCTTTCCTCGAAACTTAAGATCAAAACAACTTTTCCAAGGTTCCTCTCACTAGTCATGGCCGACCATGATGATCTTCACATGTCCGGAAAGACCATTCTTTCCCCTGCTCGCAAAACCGACGGAAGTCAGTAACATCCTCACCTCGAGGATAACATGGGATTCAGGGACGGACATACCGCGTCTCTGGATTCCACTGACGCCCAGCGCGGCGACGACCAATTATTGGACAAGGGACACTCCAAGAATCTCACTGAGGAACTGCAAGAAGTCATGCAACCAGTTCTCATCCTTCTCAATACCGACCCGGCCATGGCAGCACTGCTCGCTGCTATCAATCATACCAACACCCTCATCCTACAACAAAATCAAAGGATAGGGGCCTGGGAGAACAGACGATCAAGATCTCCTCCTCGGAGAACCCGACGATGAAACTCCCCCAGTGCATCACCACTCCGGCGTGTCCCACTGCCCATAAAGGAGAGGTGCGGCGTTTCTTTCTTCAAGAAACGCAACCGCACACCTCCTTCCAGAGATCAAGACTCCCCTTCATTCAAGAAGAGGAAAGACAATAGGAAAATTGACTGCGCTTGGTTTCCTTCTACCGAGCCAAACCAGAAATGGAGGAGCCCCTCCCCACGACGAGACCGTGACGATTGACGGGAAAGAAACTATTACTCTCCTTCTCTGTCCACCGCAGATAGCAAGGATGACGAGCCCCGTGGCCCGCTATCGAGGGAGATTACCGAGGCTCCACTCCTTATCGGCCTAGAGAAGCCGCCTACCTTGGGAACCTACGACGAAACAACAGACCTTGACGAGCACATTGAGAATATTGACACTCTCCTCGACTACCGAGGGGTCAAGGGAGCCATCAAATGCAGACTCTTCCCAACCACTCTCAGGAAGAGGGCGATGGTGTGGTATAAGAGCCTCCCCGACGAATCCATCACCTCATGGAAACAACTCGGGAGTATATTTTCGAGGCATTTCACCGCCTCCCGTCGACACCCGAAATCGGAGGCTTCGCTCAAAGAAATCATACAGGGAAAGAACAAGTCTCTACGGGCATATATTGAATGCTTCAACAAGAAAGAGGTCCAAGTCCTAACAACAGACAACATGAAGAAGTACCTCCTCGAGCGCGGGCTCCTCCTCCGCAATGACTTTTCCAAAGCTGTAGGCATAGAGATGTCGGCCACACTCGACTCCCTCTTCCTCAAGGCCCAGTCGTACATAAAATATGAGGAGAAAGAAGCGGCCAATAGCGCTAGGGAATTTAGGCACATAGAGAGTGCCAAGTCCTCGAAGAACAACGAGCCCTCGACATCCCGTTGGAGAGAGAAGAAATGGGAGGACAAGTCTCGTGATTCAAAAGACTATAAGGGGTCAGTCGGTCGTTTCCACGACTACACCCCTCTGACAACCTCAAGAGAGCGTATTCTTTCTGAATTCAAGCAAGTCGGGGTGCGCTTCCCCTGAAAAACACCGTCTAAGCCGCAACCTGACAAGAGCAAGTATTATAGGTTTCACAAGAGTCACGGGCACAACACGGAAGATTTCATTCATTTCAAGGATGCACTCGAAATACTGATCAGAGACGGGCACCTCAAGCAGTATAAAAAGAAAGAGGGTGCCTGTGACCAAGCACCAGAAACCAAAAATGTCGAGGAAGGGAAAAAATCCCCCGACCTCGACCCCATTCTGGTCGCCATGAGCATCTCACGACCGAAAGACTTCTATTATCCGGACATGGAGAACGTCCCCCCGTCTCCTCCCACAGTCCTTGGGAATCCTTCCCCGCAGCCATGGTCATCTTTGAAGAAGGCTTCAACAAGCACACAGTTGGATCGGTGAAGAGGAGATTCGACCAACTCATTGAAGCCAACTCAGATATGGATACCACGCTCAATAAATTTTGAGGAGGCTCTCATCCAATAGCCTTCTACAGATCAGAATTACCGGGAAGGGCCACGAATTCGAGCATCCCACTACTCGTGAGAGCTCGGATGGCTAATTTTGACGTGCGTCGCATTCTAGTCGACCAAGGCAGTTCGGTGGATATCATGTACGCTCAGCTGTTCACCACCTTGCAGCTGGACGAGAGCCACCTAACCCCCTACGTGGGATCTGATCTCCAGGGCTTCAATGGAGCCAGCACGAACCCCTGGGGATATGTAGAACTGATCGTCACA